CGTTAGTGGCCAAAGAGATGGCTAAAGCTAGGCTAAATGCTATATGTCTCACTTACTCATTACATACACCCCGGCTCAGACTCAGATCCAATCATTTCAATCTGCAAAAGGATTTAACCCCTATCACCTGTAAACAGAGGTCAATTGTGCAAATCCAGACCTTACCAAATTAAATTAGTGTAATGGTATGGAAAGACCAGGCCATATCTGCTCAAAAGCCCTGTTTTACGCTTTCTCTGTTTAAACAAACTCTTAAATCGGCGTGTTGATTCTAGTCTTTATCTTATTTTCAATTAATTTTTCATGTATTCCAAACAAGGTCTTATAGAGTGGATAAATGAAAGATGTGAAAATGCCTGCCATGGTTTGGAATAACTATCTTTTTGGTGAGTTTTATCATCTATTTTCTATGTGAAAACCCACATTATAACTCAGATGGAGACATTGTTGACTCACACGGTTGCTATAAATGCAATTATCAGTAGACATGGAGGAGAGTACATGTCTCAAAAGCAGCAGCAGACGTGGGCAACAGGACGGCGTGCTTTAGTCATTCAGTTGTGCCTTTGTTCGACGGTGATATAACGGCTTCACCTACTCATCCGTAAAAGCCAGGGAGGGAAAAGCAAATACTGGTCTTTTCTGGTCTTTTCGAATTCAACCTGTTGTGGGCTGTATCTCTCAAAAAGCAAAAAAAAAAAAAGATCCACATTAAAGCGGATGGTGCTTCAAGGAGAGTTGATTGATTAGACGCTCACTCGCTGTTTCATTCGCTTGGATTGGTGTCTCAAGGTGACATAATCAAATAGGTTGATTTAGATTTAGTTTGCCTTCCTCTCATCTAACCAGTCAAGTTTAGATTCAGAATGATTCATATGCAGTCACTCACCTGTGCTCATCAGCATCCCTTTGTGGCTGCATATAACTGTGTGTGTGTGTGGGTGTGTGTGTGTGTGTGTGTGTATGTGTGTGTGTGCCGTCTCTGGAGCCCTAGCCTGGGATTAGAAGACCGCTGGACCTCCCACTTCCTGAAAGTCTGTGGAGTAATGAGGTGCTGACATTGGTTTAGGAGACACTCGTTTTGAGATTGGTTGTGTTAAGTCTGTCCTGTTTTCTTCGTCACTTTGGTTTTTGTTTGTGTGACTCTTTGGGCAGCAGTTTTGATTCGCAACCCTCAGTTCTCTCTGTTTGTTTAGTGTTGTTTTATCTATATATATATTTTTTTTTAACCTTGTTTGTAATTGTATCTTACCCATTTGGTTTTATTAACTGTCATTAAATTACCATCTTTTATCTTTTTACTTCTTGGCTTCTTTGTCTCCACCATCACCCTCGCTGAGCTGGGTCGCGACAAGTATTGTGATTGGTTGATCTTATCATGTGCCCAGGGCCAGCCCACTCAGCAATGCCCTCAATATGATGGAACATGGCCGTTCACAACTAGATATTACAATATTGTGGTCACAGCTGCAATAGAAAATGGCATATGTGGAATATGGCAATAAAATGTACTTTTGTGTCTCCCAAAATCACAACAGCAGTTTTCTCTACATTGTGTATACTTAGTGTGCACTTGTAAATGGTAGTAATTAGGCAATAAGAGATTTTTTTTAATGCTAGTTTTATATCTATTTAAGGTGTTTGCACATTGAGCCAAAGCAAATTCCTTGTGACTTCCTGTTACTTACTTTAAGGCAAATAATTTGGATTCTTTAAATCAAACCAACTGACTACTGCTGACGTCCTCCACCAACCAACACAAAAACATTAAAATAACAAAACAGAGGTTAACCAACAGTTCTAAAAGTCCATAATGTCCCGGAGCATCCCCTGCCCCCAAATCTTTCGTAATTGTTGTGCCGTGGATCGCAGGAGGTGACAAGGACTTCATGGGCCCCAAAAGTGACAAGTTCTCCTGAAGTAAATTCTGCATGCACCAGAGGTAAAAAAAATAAATTCTTCCAGCTTAGAATTAGAGCTTAAGATCTTTCCTCACAGGGATCATGAAAGCATACCTCACGTAACACAATATTCAGGTCAGAGAAAGGTCATCTTTTAAAGGATTGCCTCTGGAAAACGACCCGTGCAACTTCATTCTTCAGTCATACAATCGGGAAAGACTCGTCACCTCATTTTTAACTCGTATTTTCCCCGTCGGTGCAGTTTGGCAGCCCCGTCTCTATGCCTCAGACTTGGCTCGGCTTACAGTCAGCTTACCCATGTGCTTTGCAGTGTTTGCGATGCGCACTAATCAGCCGCCTGTACCGTGGCACTGCGGCGCGCCAAATCAAATATTGACGGGTGCTTGTAGTACTGTATCCAGCGGTTACATAAGAGGAGCTGATCCGCAGATAACAGAGCCCCACCTGGAGACCCCAGTGCTGCATAAGATGATGTGTGTAACAGTAATGTAATCCTGTGCGCTCCGTGGCTTCCTCTGGAGACCGGCAGCCAAACGGAGCATGAAGGGAAGACAAGGGAGCAGCCGTGACTGTCGGACAGGATGTGCCTAGTTACACTCTTGTTCGCTGAGAGCACGCGCGCACACACACACACACACACGCGCGCACGCACGACTACACACACTTGCACGGGCACACATACACCGACATGCGCACACGCATACACACATGGGGGACCAAGAAACAGTGGGGATCAAAGGGTATCTTTTTCTCCTAGTAAATTCCGGCGTCAGTTTCAAACCAAAAGAAAAGTATCGTTGAGCAACAATTATGTATGAATAAATGATGAGACCAGCTTGATATGAAATGAATATAAAACAAGAAGAGCCGTTGTTTGTAGATTTAACCCTCTATGCCCATGGGTCATTTTGGGGAACTTTCCTCGCCTGGTTTTCTTTGTGTATAATGGTTCATAAAACAGTCATCTTTTGATGCAGAGTCAAGCAGTATACTTTGTTTTTTTCAGTACAACCTGGGGTTTTAGAATATTCATATTGTAAAGCTGTCATATGAATTATATAAAAATGATGGAATCATAAAGACAAAGAAAAAAATCTAACGGAAAATCAATTTAACAAAAATGTATTGAAAAAACACAATGAAATGCTATAAACAACTTTTTACACTGCATAGAAATGTTATTTATGGTCTTGGGGATAATGGGGGAAAAAATTGAATCTCTAACTATTATACTTTTTACAAAATTCCACTATAAAAGCAAAATACTCTGTACTCCTGATGCCCTTCTTGAAGAAGTTTGTCTATAATGCTGGGGTTGCTTCTGTAGTACAGCTGTAAACAACGTAAAACATAAAAAACTGAGCCAAAAAAAAAAAAAAACATCAATTATTTATTTAATACATATATTTATATACATCATATACACATAATGTCATTTTACTGTATTTATTATCGTCTTTATCAATAATGCGCACTCTTCAGCCGGTTTTTGCAATCGCAGCTGTAGTTTCAACTGTGGGAGAACAAGGAAACGCAGAGGAGTGAGAGATCTCACTCTCTGACGATCTTTGGCAGTCCCCGTGTGTTTGTATCTCACAGCTGTTTGTACCTCACGGGTCATGCTTTGGACACGGACTTTCAGACAAACGTAGTTTATCCTCCGTGCATCGCACAGACAAATCAAAACTAGTTTCGGAAAGCCCTGATTACGTACTTCACAGAGGAAAAAAAGTAAGTTGCTACGTTTTACCGTTCGCGAGTAAATTGATCATTTGTAAAACATGTGCGCGTGCATCGGCACCGATGCACGCGGGCATATAATGGCAGGGAAAAATAGCATCTTGTATGGAGCTTTTTGAAGATGCAGCGTGTCAGATTTACGCACCTAAATCCTGGAACAGTCTTCTTGAAAATGTGAGACCGGCTTCTAAAATGTTCAAATCCAGGTTTTTTTAAAATACTGTGAGTATTTATGATGTTAATGCCTTGTGTCATTGTTTTTTTATCTTGTTTTGTTTTTTTGTGCTATACAAAAAACTTGCCTTGACTTGTCTTTCCAACTGTCCATAGATTTACAAATGAAAATTAGAATGCCATTCAAAAGTTTTTTTTATTTTTATTTTTATTTGAAATGTGAAACTAATATTGTTACATGCACAGTGATGTGTCCTAATATATTTGATGAGAGTGGATTACAGTTCAGCTTCAAAACATTCTAATTTTCTGTTTTTGTTGAGGTTTTTACAGCTGTGAGCCAATTATTAACATTTTAACAAACACAGGCTTATATAAGTGTAAGTCTGTCATTAGTCTCACATCTGTTCTACATTTGTATCTGAATCTAAATTGTTTCACTTGTTACTCCGACACACAGTACTTTGTTTTCGCCAGTGTTCACCTATTTACACATTTTATATTTTTGTGTGTGTGTGTGTGTGTGTGTGTGTTTTTTTTAATATGCAAAGTAAAAGCAGAACCGAACAGAAATGCCGTGACTGAAGCTGCAGCAGCTTAAATCAAATGCCCAAAGTAAGCATTAGTAACCACACTCTCTACTGTATATTATGTTTTGAGCTGAGAGATGATTGGCTGAGTTAGGGTGGTCCTCTTGTTTCCAGTTTTCCGCCCTGAAAAGCTGACACCAGTTTGACGTATATCATGGTAACATCATGGTTTGGTATGTACCCCAGCTTCAACACATGCACTATTCAAAAAACTTCCTTGTATGAATAATTCACTACCCTCAAGCTTCTATTTTTGATAATACATCTTTTCCTACACACATATTATTTCTAATACAAAAGATTCCATTTAAGGGACAGCAATAAACTGGGTTATTTAACATATTTCAGAACTTTTCAAAAGGACCCAGCTTTATACATGTGGCATTATACAACTTTAAGTAACAGCAGAGGTACATATTGAACAATTCTGCGTCTTTCTCGACCTGTACAGACGCCACATCCCCCCAGCCCCAGACAGGCCCCTTGTCTCGAGTGTCGTCTGAGGTTTGGGGATGGCCTGCGCTTTGGCTGCTTCACTTGGGATGCATGCAGAGAGCCGGCAGCAGTGACAGCATCATCAACAAACACACAAAGCCCACATCCAGGCTGCAGCTGAGCCACTCCAGAGAGAGAGAGAAAGAGAAAACACTCCAAACTGTGCTGAGGAAACAGCTCTGCCCGAAGGAGGAATCAAATCTGGGCTGCTTTGTTCCAAACAAACAACAGGCCGCTCTTCCCAATCGCCTTGTTTTCGCAGCAGCGGCTTGTGTCGGCCTCGTCACTTTGGTACAGTGAGTGTCACAGGGGCTGCTGCTGCTGCTTCCATCGCAATGTAAAGCTCATTAACAAATATATACACTTTAGTATTAAAGCAGCGTGAGCTCTTTTTCTCACATACGTATAGTCCTGCTTTGTAGCTTTCAAAGCAGCTCTAGAGGGGAAAAAAACAAACAAACAAAAACAGTATCTTGTCTAGTCTATAGTCAGAGCCTGAGGGCCAAACTCAGGCTCTTCAAACAATCTGATCTGATCCACCACACAGTGATGGAAGCAACTCATTACAAAAGTAACTAGTGTTGATTAGGGGTCGAATCGAATCGCAATACTTTCTCCCGCGATTCAATTATCGATATGCATTTGCCAAGTATCGATATCGATTAAAAAAATTAATAATAATAATTTCAAATGTTTTTTTTTTTTTACAATAAAAAAAATAAAAAATGGTATCAATACTTAATATATGGCTACATTACGCATCTCCATTCCATTTATCATGAAATAAAGTGTATTTTTTCTTTTATTTATGCCATAAATTGGCATATTGTATATTTCTGACCAATGTATCGATAATCATCATATCGTGATAATATCGTTATCGTGATAATATCGTTATCGTGATAATATCTTTATCGTGATAATATCTTTATCGTGATAATATTGTTATCGTAATAATATCGTTATCGTGATAATATCGTTATCGTGATAATATCGTTATCGTGAGCTTTGTATCGTGTATTGCAGGGGTGGCCAACCCGCGGCTCGTGAGCCGCATGCGGCTCTTTGGCTGGTTCCGTGCGGCTCTCGGGCTTTCACACGACAAGCGTCAAAAACGCCTCGGTGGTGGCGCTGCCATTCATTCTCTATGTAGTTCTGACCCATAGTAAAGGCCGACTTCACTCCACTAGCCAGGCCACCAAAACAATCTGACGTCGGCGAACGTCAATTCTGGTTGGTCAGATGCGCTGTCAACCACTCTGCAGCCGCTGCCTCAGCTGTTAAATATCATAACAAACAACACGTTGCCTCGACCCATGGCGTCCGTACGGAAAACAGTTCCTTGGTCGCTGGATGAGGGCAACACCTTCCTCAGTTTGAGGAGAGGACACCAGCGTGAGCTCGATGGTTCCACCAGAAACCAGAAGGTGTTTGTGGAGCTAGCGCTAAGGACGGAGCAGAATGATTCCCACAAACATGACAATGCAGAGAAAAGTTAAAAAGCTTAAAAGTGACAACCGTGAAATGAAAGATCGCAGCAGCAGAAGTAGAGGCAGACCCGAAAAGTCTGGAGGTGGTTTGACCAAATGGATTACATTTACGGACATCGGCTAACACCGGCTAACATGCTAAAACCGGCTAACACCAGCTAGCATTACACCAGGAGAAAAGCCAACTCTGCCTGGTGAGTGTCTGTCTTCAATCAAATGCAAAAGTATCTGGTCTTATACTGAACATGTGTCTGTGGTTCTGAATCAGCAAAAGTGGTGTTGGTGTTATGTGTCAAATTTATATCTTTTACTAAATACAGTCAGAGAGTGAATCATGGTTCGATAAAGACAGTTGTGTTTCTGCTGAATACTGGGTTGAAACTTGATTTTTTTTTCTTGGTTAGAGATTGAAAGCATTCATTTCGGAATCATAATTGATGTTCGCTGACGTGCAATTGTTCTGGTATCGACTCGCCCGGTTAGAACCAGGGCCGAACCGTCAATAAAAAGTACCGGGGAGCGGCTAAAGCGAGCGTTAGAAGCGCCCGCAAACCAGGGAGAGTCGAGTCCAGCCCTTTAGTACTGTACGAGTCAATTTCTGTCATTATCATGTTGATGACATTTACATCTATCTGAGCAGAGCACACCTCTCTCTGCTCAGACAGATTGCATGTGTGTGTGTGTGTCTGTGAGCGTGTCTGCTCGTGTGCGTGCGTGTGTAAGGGTTGGGGTGATGTTTATGTAGCGCACATTTGTATGATGTGGCTCTTTGCTGTAACAAAGTAAAAAAAATGGCTCTTAGTCTCTGACTGGTTGGCCACCCCTGGTGTATTGTATCATATCGTGAGGTACCCTTAGGTTCCCACACCTAGTGTTGATATAAAAACGGTGTTGTGCATTAAAGGTAAAGGTGCACTTTATTAATCCCCGGCATTTGACCCATCCTGATGCCGCGAAGGCTTACGTCAGGAGCAGTGGTCGCCGTGGTAACAGCACCCGGGAACCCATCTCCAGATGTTGATTCTCGGCTTGGTCAGGACCGGAGCTGGAGGATTTAACATAGTGAGCATGTTTTTAGTGGTAGGGGAAACCGGAGCACCCAGAAGAGAGCTACGCAGGCACGGGGAGAACATGCAAACTCCACTCAGACCCTGTTCCAACTGGGTTTCGAACCCAGGACCTTCTTACTGAGAGGCGAGAGTGCTATCCACTCAGCCACCATTAATCAGACCAGGCACGCTTTTGATTGAGGGTGGTCCTCTTGTTTTAACTTTTCTGCCTGCAAATGATATCATTACTTGGTTACATTTTTGTGGTTTGAAAATTAGGTTCCCCATCTGAAACACATGCTCAATCGCCCAAAAATCCTGCTTGTATGCCTAATTCTTAACTGCCAATTTCTATACATGGCATGGTGGCTGAGTTGAGTGCGCACTCTCGCTCCTCAGCAAGAAGGTCCTGGGTCCAAATCCCGGTCGGAACAGCCTTTCTCAGTGGAGTTAGCATGTTCTCCCCGTGTCTGCGTAGGTTTCCTCCAGGTGCTCCAGTTTCCCCTACCACTGAAAACATGTACAATAGGTATGAATACAATGAGTGAGTGAATGGATGGTGTTTGGACAGAGACTTTGATGCGCCGGTGTGTTCGGCGACTTCCGCCTTCACTGTGTGTGGAGAGAATGGTGAACTCTAAACAATTCTTCAGCGGTTTGGTCTTGGTCTGTAAAAATGCGCTATATCTATATCTACATTTTTTAAAAAAATTGTCCACTCACCTTTGGCCCTCCGCGGGCGGTTATCCCTCTCTAAGCTTGGGTCCTCTACCAGAGGCCTGGGAGCTTGAGGGTTCTGCGCAGTATCTTTGCTGTTCCTAGAACTGCACATTTCTGGACCGAGATGTCCGAGGTTGTTCCAGGGATCCGCTGTAACCACTCTTCTAGTTTCGGGGTCACTGCCCCGAGTGCACCGATCACCACGGGCACTACTGTCACCTTTACCCTCCAGGCCCTCTCCAGCTCCTCTCTGAGACCTTGGTATTTCTCAAGCTTTTTCCGGATGTTACCATCGCTTGGAATTGCCACGTCCACCACCACGGCTGTCCTCTGCCCTTTGTCTACCACCACAATGTCAGGTTGGTTCGCCATTACCATTCGGTCGGTCTGTATCTGGAAGTCCCACAGGATCTTTGCACGCTCATTCTCCACCACCTTTGGAGGAGTTTCCCACTTAGACCTTGGGGTTTCCAGCCAATACTCTGCACAGATGTTTCTGTACACTATGCCAGCCACTTGGTTATGGCGTTCCATGTAGGCCTTCCCTGCCAGCATCTTGCACCCTGCAGTTATGTGTTGGATCGTCTCAGGTGCCTCTTTGGACAACCGACACCTTGGGTCTTGTCTGGTGTGGTATATCTGGGCCTCTATCGCTCTGGTGCTCAGTGCCTGTTCCTGTGCAGCCATGATGAGTGCCTCTGTGCTGTCCTGTAGGCCAGCCCTTTCTAGCCATTGGTAGGACTTCTTGAGATCAGCCACTTCTGTTATGCTCCGGTGGTACATGCCGTGTAGGGGCTTGTTCTCCCATGATGGGCTCTCCTCCAGCACCTCCTCATCTCGCCACTGCCTGAGACATTCACTGAGTACGTCATCCGTTTTGGCCTTCTCCATGATGTAGTTATGGAGTTTGGATGTTTCGTCCTGGACAGTGGCTCTCACACTCACTAGTCCTCGGCCTCCTTCTTTACGGCTTACGTACAGTCTCAGGGTGCCACATTTGATGGCCACATTTGATGGTCACTTGTGCGAGTGGCTTGCCATTTGGCCTTCCACATTCCCATCGAGTTTGCAACGAAGTCCCTTAGAGCCCTGTTGATATTGTACAAGTTCAAGCATTCCATGATCCATGTGTGTGGCATTGAGTCGTAGGCTTTCTGGTAATCAATCCAGGCTGTGCACAGGTTGGTGTGTCATGACCGGCAGTCTTGGGCGACTGTTCTGTCAACCAGGAGCTGGTGTTTGGCTCCTCTGGTGTCCCTACCAATGCCCTTCTGTGCTGTGCTCATGAATTGTTCCATATGCCCACTTATCTTAGCCGCAATGATGCCTGACATGAGCTTCCATGTTGTGGAGAGACAAGTTATTGGCCGGTAGTTGGAGGGGACTGCACCCTTGACAGGGTCCTTCAGGACCGTTCGCCCTTCGGTTAGCCATTCTGGGTGAGTCCCATCTCTCAGCAGCTGGCGCTCATGGAGTGATGTGAGTGTCCTTAAAGGGATTAAAGGGTAGAAAATGGATAGATGGATGGATGGATATATATATTTATATTTAAAACATTACTTACTTACTTACAGATATCAGTTCTAATACAGACAACACAGACGCACTAGAGGGAAAACAAAAACAGTAGCCTTAGGGCCAAACTCAGGATCTTCAAACAATCTGGTCCACCGCACAGTGTTGGAAGAAACTCATCATAAAAGTCAGTTTCCCAGCATCTAACACAGATTACAGACCAGTGGCGCTAACCTGCATTAGGATGAACTACTTGGAAGAGATAATTGTAAACAAATTGAAGCCGGATATTGTCCCTCTTTCGATCCACTTCAGTTTATCTTTTTGTGTGTTCTATATTCTTTATGTGTTTTAACTGTTGATTCTCTGATCTGTGTTGGTGATCTCAATGGTTTTGTTAAGCCCTCTGAGAGGACTTCTGTTGTGATTTAGGGCTATACAATAATACATTGTATTGTATTGTATCTATCAGCAGGGTTAGATGTGGCTGCCTACATGTCACACCTGATCCTAAAACATTTAAAGG